CCACTGCTTTCGATGGCGTAATTAAACGAAGTCAATACTAGAATCAAATCGATATGTGAATTAACTACTGCTTTCGAGGGCGTAATTAAACGAAGTCAATACTAGAATCAAATCGATATGTGAATTAACTACTGCTTTCGAGGGCGTAATTAAACGAAGTCAATACTAGAATCAAATCGATATGTGAATTAACTACTGCTTTCGAGGGCGTAATTAAACGAAGTCAATACTAGAATCAATTTGGAGAACATGAGCCCTAATTGTGCTTAATGCAGGAACTAAAAACATTTTGTTTTAATCATGGATGACAGTTAATTTTGAAAGCAAGAGGACTAAAATAAATAAACTAATTACTATAAAAAAATCAGTTTTGCTATCGAAATTTGTATATATATATGTGTAGCGGGAAATTAGATTCCCATGGATACAGAATTACCAGCTAAACCTTTCTTTAGCTTTCAGAGTCAACCCACGCTTACTTGGAAGAAATAAAAATTAGACAAGATTAAAATATTAATTTGGCAGAAAAAAATATATAAATTACTGCTCCATTATATGCATATGTTTTCGTACTTACGTTCCTTTATGAATTATCGCATCATACTTCTGTAAAAACTATGGACTGTTTGAAAATATATTTATCATATTTTTATGGTTATAGCTTTCACCGCGTGAAGTCTCTATCTAAAAAAAAAAAAACAATTTGCAGATTTATTCTGGAAGGGTAAACCACAGAACATCTGTTCACTCTTAAACTAAAATTTTCAAAATTGCAAATAGAACTAATATTTCACATTATTTCTTCACAAAAATACTTTAATGAACGTATCTCCAACTCATAATTACCATTGCGCACGAAGAGAATAAGACATTAGTGAAAAAATTTACTTTTAAATCTTGATAATTATACTACACAAAGAGCTGATCTCTAAAGAAGAAAATATCTAAAGGAAATAAATTTGAAATAACTTAACCATGGATTAAATAGTTTCTTAGTTTGAAACTGAAACGTGAATTTTCTCGCGTGGCTTTAGGGTTAACGTTTTAGTTATCATGATTTTGTTATTCTATGTTTTTTTACTAGAAGTTGCCTTATACATTAATAGTAAACAACATACAACTAGACCTATTCTATAAAAAATGATAGAATACAGTCTACAAAAAGTAAAAATATATAGCAAGCGTAACTATGGGTTAAATGTTTCGCATTATAGTAACTTCGTAGCCCCATGAATAAACTTTGATTTGGCCAGGTTATATACATGTTCATTGGTATACTAGACAGACATAATATTACGTACAGTATAGAAAAAATCATTATTTTTAGATTTCGAATTCAATATATTATTTATATAATGGAAGCAATTCCTTTCGGCATATTTTCAGATTTAAGAGGACTTCTTTCATATTTTTTTTTATGGTTGTAACCCCCACCCAACCACCCATATACTCTTCAAGGTATTAGATATAAAAAAAATTCAAATTTCAATAGCGATTTACATACGTAATCTGTGTTGGTTTACATTTTACTTCTTTATATTTTACCTAAGCAATAGTTTTTGATGTTTTTTTTTTTGCAACTGCAGAAAAAAACATTTGAATCGGCAAAATCAATTCACTTTAACATTTTGGAATTAAACAGAAAAGATCAATCACTTTCAACCAAAAGTTATTGTGCATCTTTCGTAAAGCTTGTTAATTATAGTACATGCAGTACGAAACTGCGTTTAATACACTGATATTAGGAACTATATAATATAACAGATATATACGCCTGAGAACTGTATACCATGGCTAAAACCCAATATCGTAAAGGAACGGGTTTTACTCCTAAAGAAGGTCATATATTAATCATAAATATTTCTTGATAATTTCTACATACTATTGAAATGATTGAAGCGAAACTTCAATCACAAAGTTACATAAAACCACTCCGAACTACTAGTGACTAATCATGAACAAAAACCTTAAAATGCTTTCTTCAAAGTAACAATAGACTAACAGTATAAATTTATATTTTTTCAATTCCATTGTTAATTAAATATTTTTTGCTAGCTGAATTATTAAAAAGGGAATCAATGTTTAGAAATTGTTATTCAATAAACAGAAAATATATCTTAACTTAGAAACACCAGTTATTGTAAAACATTAAACAAAATTCAACCGGGGGTATTTTATCAAAATGCAAAATTTATATCTTAAGGATAGAGATACTATAAAATATATATTTAGGGCGTTTTTCTAAAAATGTAGTAATGACCTTTTGAATAACTTCGAACAATAACGTATTCTACAAGGTCTATCGGTTATACAGTGTAAAACCTGAAGATGTAAGGCGGAAGATTTTTGAAATGCCGTCCTCTACACTTGTGTCTCTACAACTGGCAGTTGCCGTCCATTATACAAAGTTTCATCACTTGTTTATTTTGTCACAACGTTTCACCAGGTTTACCTGGCACCATCAAGTGAGATATGGGAACTGAGGTGTGTATAACACCTGATGAAACGTTGTGAGAACAAAACTTTTACTCTCTACAAGCGATAAAATCTTGTCTGAAGTGTTAAAGAAATAACAAACAAAACATAGGCATTGCATGTTCAAAGAGATTGTTACGTCAGACACGTGATCAAAAAACGTCATATCTTGTAAGAATAATTATTGGAACTGTTCCAGCATTCTAGCTTTAATAACCAGAAAACGTTATTATAGATGTTCTTAAACTATACAGAAAATTGATGTGTTCATACTTCATTTGCACTTAGAAATTATACCATTCTACTGTACGCACATGTGATTTAGAGTATTTTTACGCGTAAACGGAAAAAATTTTTACCTCTTACGTCAATTTCGTTTCAATCGTCATGCGCTGTAATATTCCATTTAAGGCCATCAGTTTAGAAAGATGTGGTGCTATGAAAACATTGGGTGTCTTTTATTCTTCAAAACGTGAAACGATCGTAATTAAAATAATCTTGTCTCGATGATGTATCAGTTTTGATTGGTAAATTGAAGCACGCATGGTCCAGATTGGCATTAAGCTATTCTGGTATCTCCGATATAACCACCACGCAGAAAGTCCACTTTTTACTGCTAACATAAAGTTCTAATCACAGACACGAGAACGTTATTATACACAAATTTATTATTTCTTACTAAAACGTAACTCTTTCATCTTTCTACAATTTTTTTTCATTATGCATTTAATATTTCAAATATATGAGTTCTGCTGTAAACGCGAGCTTGTGGTTGTATAATCCCTTTAATCATTTGTTTACACTATAATACTTTATTTAAGTGCTTTAGATGAATGATATATAAATTTGTTATTCATTCTTATGACGTCTAGTATGAATCTCGTCGAATATTTCGAATATTGTTAGTTCCTTTTGACCACTAAAGGTCTCGCTCAGTGTAAAAACTTTTGGAAGCCTATATACATATACATATCATTTTTTGTAGTATTTAGTGTGGAAAAATAGTGATAAAAAACAGTTTAAGCTATTACCTTTCCTAATAAATTTTAGTTTGTCTATTTTATATCTGTCGAAAAACGTTTCACAATAACTGAGCGATTAGCTTGTTTGCATACTCATCAAGATTATTTCAAACTATTTCGTATTATAATTAAGTATTTTATCTAACTCTTCAGAATATCTAGTCCATAGTTAATATTTGAAAGGCTAAAATCCAAAACAATCGCCTGTAGTACTGCACAACAAAACTCAGTTAATGTTTCAGGTCAAGATGGATAATGCTTGGATGTCATATTTGCTTTCTTGTTCTTTTTTTCATAATATATATTTTTATTTAATCATAACTGTAAGGTTTATCCACTTTTGCGAAAGATATTTAAATGTTATTTCCAAGATATTTAATACTATAAAAAATAAACGGAAACACATAAGCGGTGCAAACGACAAAGTTCAGGTGTAAAGTTCACAACATATATAAAAAAACTCGGTTTAAAAATGGGGAAAAATGTCTCTTTCAATCACTAAAACACAAAGTCTAAGAAATAGCACAAACTTACTTTGCCACTGAAATGAACATCGTTATTTACACGAAGTAAACAAGATCACCTTACCAAGCACCTTGAGAACGAGAATATCACCATACTACATATTATACAGTAGTAAGACACTACACAAAATACTGACTAGCCACAAACGAATGGTTTTAGCTTCCTTGTGCACAGCTTTCACGTTCAGCTATTACAAAAAGTACCTATCATCTTTCATGATCACGTTTATCTTCAGTTGGACGATAGGACTCTCGACCCTTTCGTGTGTCCTCCCCATGACCAGAATTCAAAACAGTATTGTCACTGGGATACTTGAGCACGTGAGAAAATGTTGGAGCTGACCTGCCTTCCCAAGTGTGCAAGTTAGGCAGGCTCTGTAGCGCTTGGCTATCGGGTTCTACATCAACACTGGACGTGCTAACAAGGTCAGGGCTAACAGAGGACGATATTTCATACCGCTCGTGCTCTAGGCTACTGTCAGACAAGTCCGAGTCCATAGGACTACTTATTCCACTATAAGCCATTTGGGAGTGTAAATAGCCTTCTGGAAATAACGGTGCGAGGTGTTGTGTACGACGAGAGCCTAGAGAAGGAAACATGGTGGAGCTTTCAAAGGCATGATCGCAGCATTTGGATACTGATTCAATTTTATGAATCTTTTTTATTGGTCTGTTTTCAGGTTGTGAGAATTCTTCGGCGTTATTTCGTCCTGCTAGTGGATTATTATGTCTTGTTAAAGAATCTGTTGCCACGGTATCGTAAACATGATCTATGCGTGATGGACACGTGGCGCATGAGTGGGGAGAATAAATCTCTCTCTGCTGGAGTCGATTTACAGTTGTATTTATTTCTTTTTGAGGGTTTTCCCAGAATTGGGAATTACCAACCGATGAGGAATCACCTATAAACGTAGCCCTATCTACAACAAGAACACCTGTTTCACCCTGGTTCATTGTTTTGTAGGAAGAAGCCGAGAGCCAGTTTCTCAGACAAAGATCATCAGTTTGCAAACCCACCATGGGAATAAATGGGAGATCTGAAATACGCAAGAACAGGGTTCAAATGACATGAATACAGCAAATATAATTTTAAGTCTTAACAAAAGCATTAACACAAGACCCTAGCCTAGTTCTAACTTCTAAAACAAGATCTACTTATAAAGCTATACTGTAACTCTTATAATAATACTTAAATGTAAGTCACTAAATCATCTTTTACAGAAAGGAATAACTGAAAAGTACTGATTCATTTTTATCATTTAAGATAAATCTAAACTATAATATATCAACCCAGTTTTAACCTTTATCATAAGATGAAGCTATAAAGTATTAATTCAACTTTAACATTCAAATTAAAACCTACTTAGAAAGCAAAAACCCTTCATATAATCTTCAGCTTTTCAACTAAAATCTATTTATAAACCAATAACTCAGGCTTAACCCTTTAAAAAAAGGCTAAACTATAAAGAAACCAATTTAGTCTTTGACATAACCCTAAACTATAGGTACTAATTCAAGTTTACTCTTCAACAGAAGCTTAACTGTAAATTGCTAATTCAGTTTTAACCTTTAGCTTAAGCAAAGATAATGTACTAGTTTAATCTAGGTTTAACATAGGTAGAAATTCATGACGGCTGATTCAACGTTAACTTGTAAAAGTGTAATTATCTATTTTTTTAATAAGACCAAATAATAAAACGCCCACTCAGCACTAATCTTTAAACGAGAGATAACTTTAAGACTATCATACTTTTAACCTTTCACAAAACATAACTAAGGACACTATATATTACTTTTCGTTTTTTATCTAAGCTTTAGATATTTCCTGAACTTTACCCTTTAACATGAATCTAATTGACAAGATTAACCCACAACTAGCGATAAGTTTGTTTGTTTGTTTGTTTTTAAGCGCAAAGCCGTATAACGGGATATATATCGAAACTTAATTATCAGCACTATAAGCCCACAAACTTATAGTTGATCCAGAGGAGGGAGGCTAAAAATAAAACAACTAAATAAGTTTTATCTCTAAAAGAATTTATATCTAGATATAAATATTTCGTCTGTTAAAAGGAAGCGTAACAACCGAGTAAATGCTCAATCAGCATTTAATGTAAATTTTAAGAATAAAGAAAAATCAAACTAAACTTTAAAGATGGATTTATCTAAAAGCACATTAACATACATTTATCTCAAGTAAAACCTAAGTAAAAGATGAAGACTAAATTTTTACGTCTGGCATAAGTAACTAGTAACTGATAACCCTAACTAGTATAAGCTAGTAACTGATAACCCTAACTATAGCTTATGAGACATAGTGCTCGGATGACGTGCAATAAATACCGGGTTCGATCTCGGATTATTAAAGATTGTACTATATATTTAATATTAACTGAAATTAATCTGAAATCTTCTCGATTCTTCAAATATGCCTAACATTGTTGGTGGTTCTTAACGACAGTATAAGTTAACATGAAAAAATCAGGTTTAACTTGTGTGCTTGACGCTGACTAACAATAATCTGGTATAACTGTAAAATATATAATGTGACTCACATATCTAATATGACAAATTGATCAGACCATAGCTGAGAAATACATATTGCCTCAATAAAAAGTACAGTTGACTTAAGAAAACATTTCAGAGTTTAGTTTCAGCACGAAGCGATAAAAGTAACTACATTGCAAGCTACCCTACTCACCTGGTGTGATAGAATTCAAGATGGCTGACCTGGTATCCCACATTTGATGGTCCTTCAATAATCTCCAAGACGGGCGTGGTAACTACAAATTAGTTCAGATTTTATTAGTTTAAATACTCACCTAATAAGCAAACTAACCAGCTTAAAGATGACTTCAAGGATTCCCTGGAACTTTGTATATGTCATAAGCATTTTCTGTTGTTAAGAGAAAGCTTCTCTTTGAATGTAGACGCTGTGTTTTTTTCTAAGACACTTTAGATTACATTGAATTACATCAGAGTTGTTTTTCCTTCAATAAGACCTTTTACAACATAACCATAACTACCAGAAGCTGGGGAAATATACGGAATATGTGTATTTCGAAGACTGACAACATTCTATGTAATTTATCTGTTTACCTGTTTTGCGCTATATTTTGCGAAATATTTTTAAAGAAAAGCAAAAACTACAACTAACGTTACTGAAATTATATATACATGTATATTCAAAGCACTACCGAGTTCCAAATAGCGTATCCTTTTATTCATATTTTAGATTTCCATAGGTTAGTGCTAAATGTATAGGAGGCAATTAAAGCCTTCCACAATTTTTGATATATATATATGGTACTTTTTAGCAGGGAATATATATATATATATAAATTATGTTAAAAGTCACCATTTAATACCATGGAAAGGCCTTTAAAATTATTGTAACTTAATCAAACTTTGTAGCGAGTGAAACCATAAAAATACTTTTACAGCTTTAAAGCCAGTCGTAAGTTGTAGAAACGGTTCATTAAAATATTTTTGACAACTTCTGAACTACGATATTTCGCACTTTTATTATAAACACACCTTTATTCTTTTTTTTTATTTTCCTCACTCAGCAATCACAAATGTTTTTCTGACAAAATGTGATGAAATAA